CTGTGTGGGTATGCAAAGGGAGAATAGCCCAGAGATGTTCTCTAAGCCTACTCGTGCTAGCAACATCTTAGCTGGATTACTCATAGAGTCATTTAGGTTGGAAAGGACCTTTAAGACTATCAAAAGGGAAAGGGAATAACCTTTTTCACGTACTTGTGGATTCACAGGTCATAAGGAAAGACTTTCTAATGTTAATAATAACGAAGCACTGTGGTAGGTTTCCAGGGACTTCAGCATTGGAGACCTCTGGATAGCAGACGTTGGGGCAGAGGACAGAGCAGAACGTGTCTGTAGGCACACGTGAATGTGGGGATGGCTCTGTAGCTCCACCAGCTGCTCAGACCACAGCAGCAATTGCCCAGGTTAACTGCGATACAGACTTGGTCACAGTAATTATGGACTTTGCCTCAGGATTTGGACCGTTCAGTTTACTCTGGAGATGGCACGTGACCTCTGTGTGCTTCACCATTGAGGGTCATCAGTGTATAGAACGCTTTTTTATTGAAAACTACTTATTTGTCTCTGGGTTTTTATAAATAAGCTAAAAATCACCATTGCCAGCTGATTGGGAACATATGGGAACAGTTAATGCTGCACAGAAGAAACTGAAATGCAAATACCTTCTGTTTCCTATTAATTTACTTTTCATTTTAGAAAGTCATCTTAATAGGATATTGTGCATCTTGTTTAGCTAAATGGGATGTTCTTCCTCTGGATGGTGAACAAAGAGGAATGCTAGGGTTCCTGTTCTGGCCTCCTGCAGAAATGTTTCAGCTGTGAACTATCTATATGCTCCGTTTCAGCGGTGGTCTATAATTTGGTCAGCAACCTCAGATGTGTCAGGAATTTGGTAGATACTCTTCGCTAGTAATTCCTAAAGATGAGTTTGGTTCATGGCCATCATGAGAACGCATTGGCTTTTATTACTTTCATATTTCCTATGAGCTAGTGATAGATATCATGTGGTTGAACAGGCTTAACTAGGAGCTGCTAGAGTTTTGTTTGCAAAATAGTCTGATAGAAATCAGGAGGTCGGGAGCAATGGTTTAGTGATGCAAAGGATTGAATTGATGCAATTTCCTACTAGGAATTTAATTCTCCAGAGACATTTCCCTGCTAGATATTTTAAAATCAGTTGAGTCGGCTTGGCTCTGGCATAGCAACTCCTATTTCAAGACCTGCAGGACTTGCAGTGAACATGAGAACTGATCTTTTGTGGTTTTCCTTAAAATGCCCGTAGAAAAACCTTGATCCTGCTGATTACTAGAGCCTGGCTAAATACTTTAAGTGATTTTTTTTTTTCTTCTTCTTTCTGTTTTTTTCTCCCCACTCCTACCCACTCTCTTTGCTAGGAGTGGGGAGATGAGAAGAGCAGGGTACCTTGAAAAGTTTGTGTGTCTTTTAACATGCTTCTAGTTTCAAGGTGAATCTGAAAAACTTCAGTACTTCAAGTTTGCTGATAAACCTTTTGTGTTTCTCCTGCTATTGAATCACCTGAAAGCCGTTTCGTCCCTTCTTAAATCAGTGAGTGTTGGCTTTGCCTCACTTGTCTCCAGGACAGAAGGTATGACTATCGGCTACTGAACATAGCTGTGATTTATGTCTTCCTAAGGAAGCTACTTAGCTGAAGCGCTAATCCTATGGTACTTTACCACAAGAGGTTTGTTTTCTCCTTTCAGCGTGCCATCAATACAGCATGTTACTCTCCCAGGGGTGAACATGGCTGGAAATGTAAAATAGCCAGTGTCAAAATGCACGTCTTTCTTTTTTCATCACTTTCCAAAGGAAAAAAAAAAATTACAAAAAAGGAATCAGAACTTTTTCATTTGGTGCCAAGTTACTTTTTTTCTCTTTTGCAGAGTTAACCTTGACAGTTGCGGGCAGAGGAGGCAGCAGCAAATCGTACTGTTATTTTTAGCTGGAGGAGAAAGCGAGGAGCTGTAGTGTTAGTTAGGCAGCAGCACTGCCTGGGAATGGGCTGGGGCATCACACCACTTCAGCATCCACGAAAGAATCCAAGTGAAGAAAACATCTTGTCCTTGATAGCTCTGCTGCTTGGTGCATGCTATAGTGAACAGAAATAGTTCTTTACTGCAGCCTTTCAGCCCTATGGAAACAATAGATGGGTGAAATAAGACATTGTGGTTATTTCCTCATAATCTTAAAAAAAAAAAAAAAGCTCCAAAACTACAATGTCTCTTTTAAATCATTGTAGCTTTCTTGTAGCACTTTTTATCTCTGGAAATACTTTGTAAATTTGTTGTTTAGAAAACAAAAGGACTAAAGATGAGTCTCTCGGGGAAAATTGACCTCTTAAATGGAAAAGCTTTATGACAACCAATTTTGAAAATCACTATAGAAAACAGTTTTTGTTTAGAGATCTTGATTATATTAATGGTATATTAATACAAAGCCTGGAAATCCCTGAGCTGATGGTGACCAAGCCATGTCGCTGCGTGCCCATCACACCACATGGTTGGGTAACTTGCACAACCAGAATTAGGCTTTCTGCACAGGGCAAGGCGCTGTAGATACACCGTTTTATCTGGACGCTGATAAGATATTCCTGATGAGGGGTTGTCTAATCCAGGATTAGACGTGCCTTTTAATCTCTGTTAATATGGAAGCCAGATTGGAGAGAGAGCTTTTTAAAACGGGTTATGTTCCTTGCATGGAGAGGGCCTTTCAGCGCACAGCATGACTTGGATACAAGTAATGCACGGCGACTCATTAAGTTTCTTGTTCTTCTTCTTCTTCTTAAGCAGTCTTTGCAGTTATTTTCTGTTTTCTTAGACCAGTTGCCCAAATAATTAATGAGAACAATAATTTTCAGAATATCAAAAAATGGACACCATCTCTCAGCCTAGTTCGTTTGCCCTGAGATCTGGTTTTTTCTATGTATTACAGTAATATGTTCAGCACTGGGTTTTAAAGCATGTGCTAAAACTTGAAACTCATTTAATATTATCCACCCAGTTTGCTTTCTCTGGTTCATTTTTCTTTTTAAGTGGACAAGGAGTTGAAATCTGTTAATTTTCATGATTATTTTAAACGCAGGTCTGTTACTTCTGTGTGGAAGATAATTAAAGCTCTTTCAAAGGAAAAGGCTACTCTTCCTTAATATTATGTTAAGCTTTTGTATTTTTATATTTGGGCAGATTTCTAGGTAAAGTGTTAGACCTTCTGCTACAGAAGAGATGGGAGCTTGGGCAGTAGGGATGTAATGCTTTTTGGTTTTATTACTGATCTAATGGGAGTAAGCAAATGCCTCTTTTAGGATCTCTGTATAACTCATCTTTTTTTTTTTTTTTCCCCCCCCCCCCCCCCCATTTTCTCTTATTTCATTTGGGGTACTCATTGGGTACCTGAGTATCTCATTGGGGTACTGTGCTATCAGGGTTAGAAAGAGAATTACTCCAATTCCATGTTGTCTGAAGCAGTAAGGCAAATAACGCTTAGAGATAAGTATTATTGAAGTAGATATTTTGAATTTCAGTCGTCAACTGCATACCAAAAATAGCCATTCGAAGTTCTGTGAAATGCTGACGTAGCCTGAAAATATTGGAAGCTTATCTTGCTTTTGTTCTTTGTGAAATGTAACTCAACCAAGATTAGTACCTTTACCACAAAAACATAAAAGTCTTTTTTGAAAACATGTTAAGATTGGAGGCTTTGACTTTCCAAAATAGGAATCACCAGAATTCAGGTTGTATCTGTGAGTTTCATTCAGTTTTTTATGCATATGTATTATGATACTATTTTATCCTTTTGATTAAAAGCCGAATATTAAATTTTGCTTTTGTTGTGGTTTAGCAGAACTTGAGCTAACAAGGCAGCACTAGTGGGATGGATTCTCTGCATGAGCCTGCCCTGGGCGAGGATAGGTTTCACCAGTGATTACTGACATCAGAGGAGTGTTGAAATGCAGGAAGATGTTTTTTTCTTTCGAAGTTTGTGGGCAACTTTCTCATTCCTCTATGAGCTGTGTATCCTCTACCAGCAATTTGTCCCAGACCCTATGCCAAAACCATGTCAGCCTTTCTCCAAGGTCCTCACGCTCTTTGCGCAAGCTGTTTCTTGCAATTTTCCTCTGTAATTTCTGGTTCCTCCCTCCAGCTCCTTTGCTTATGAGCTCAGCACATCTTCCTACTCCTGTTTTTTTCAAGGATCAGAGATCACAGCGCTACCCTGGGTCCTTATCTGTAAGAATGTAAAACCTACCTGCAGCATCTGCCAGAGGCAGTGAAATTCTCCCTTCTGTTCAACTGTGGAGATAATCGTAAGGACAGTACAGAAGGTTAAACCTGAATTTTTTCCTGACTATTTCCATACTTCTGTTGCTTAAAACAGAACAACAACAACAAAAAAAACACCACCAAAACCCCACAACCCCAAAAAGCTGCTTCCAGTGAGTGTCATCTGTCTCTATCTTGCTCGCTTGGCGCTTCCGTTTCTAGAAAAAACTACTCTGCAATCCAGCAAATGTACCTGCTCAAAACAAGGGCTAGGGTTTCGGGGATCACAAGAGAGGAACAACAAATTTGAATCTCACAGTAATCAAGCCATCAGCTGTCTTTGTTTTATTAACAGCAGCTGAGCTGGGAGGCATAATTAGGGTAATGGTTTCTGGCTCCAGCTGTGTCTCACTACAGAACAAAGAGAGCTCAGCAGAGATTTTGTAGTATAATACACTTTTCCCCCCCTTCTACTCGGGAGACTTAACAAAGATTACTCGACGTGCTGGAGGCTGTGACTGAGATACAAGTGGACATTAGTACTTTTCCGAGGAGCGTGTCCAAAGCCTACGAGATGTTGGGGAACCTACCAGCAGCATGTGCAGCGAGTGAAAAGCTGCGCGCGGCTCCAGCCAAGGGGTAGCTCGGTGTTCACGCGTGCGTGGGCTTTACCAAGTGGCTCTGACCATCTCCTGGTACTTTCAAAGGACTCTAAGTAGGTGTTGAAATTTTGCCCTGTACCCTTTTTGCGTTGTTTTGAGTTTCGGATCCTCTGCGTGACTGATGAGTTCCTCTGGGGTAAGGGATGGGGTTTGCAAAGTGTGCTCTTTTGGGATGAAAGGAGCTATAGAAATGGAGGTTTTCTGATGTCCCACATGGAGAACTGCCGGTGGGATGTCTGCTTCTGGTGTGACCTACTGAGCTTGGAGAGGGATGAAAGTTAAAGCCTGACCTAACTGTGTTGTAGCTAACAAGGACCAGCTGGGTCACAGAAAAGGGGGTGGGGAGGGAAATATGGTGAAAATCAGCTTGGCCTCACCAGGGAGATGCGTGGAGGGATGAGAGCATTGAGCGGGAACGTACAGGTCCTTGGGCCTGGAATCTGTGATGGGGAAGGTACGTGGGGCACTTCAGGTGGTTAATTTGGGGAGAAGAGGAGCTTTCTGGGTTTTTTGGTGGGTTTTTTTTGCTCCCCTCCAATTGCTGTGGCTTTGAATGCTACAAAAGCCCCAGGAAGTCATGTAGACTCTTGTGGTTGTATTGAGATATTTAATAGTTATCTTAAAGCCTTGGGTCCAGGAGTTTTCGAAACTATAAGGATTTTACTTTAATGCTTGAAAATGAAAGTAGATTTCTAGCCCAAACTATAAAGAGTAGACTGGAAGGCCTCAAAAATCCTGATGTGCAGAAGTACTGAGAGATAGAAATATAAGCATATGTCAGTACACAGGACTTGAAAATGTAAATTTATTAATTAAGCTGTATGTGTTAAATTGTAAAATCATCTATCTGTTAAAAATGGCTGCAGGAGGATACTGATAATTGTGCTAATTTGACATTAACAAAGTCTCCCTGGCTGTGACACAAGCAATAACATGATTATTCTTTAAGAAGTACAGATACGTTGATCCAGGGAAAGAAGATGACAACTTTGTGTGTAAATTGATACAAAGATCTCTCCTTTTCTATTTATTTATGTGCTCTGATTTTTCATTCCAGGTGATCAGCTTTTTCAGCTCCCGATTAGAGCAAGCTGGAGCTGAGCTGTCAGTGGAGCGAGTTCTGGAAATCATCAAGCAAGGAGCTGTTGCGTTGCCCAAAGACAGGCTAAGAGTAAGTGCTCAAGACCTCCTCAATTAAAGTGTACTGTTCCAATCAATTACATACATCCCCTTTATATCTGTAAGGTCAAAACATCATTTCTCCTATCAATAGCGGCTGATAAGGGATTACATTGTGGATTGCCATATTTGTACATTTTAATTTAAATTCCTCATTTGTGCTAAAAGTTTGGGTGAGTTTTCTTGATTAATTAGATTGAAGCGTGTGGAGGAATTAAAATTTGCTGAGGCTAAGGTTTTCTTCATCAGATGCAGTCCCACTTCTCCATCTGTTGTTTAGTTAAGCTGTAACCAAACTTCGATCATTCTTTTCTTTTGTTAGCTTATTCTTCTTTCTCTGGTGTTCTGCACCTCCATCTGGGTGTACGTAAAATGCTACAAAGATACGTTTCTGGGGCTTTAATTCAGAATTAACCAACCTAGTGAAAATCAGTTCAGGACCTGTAAGCCTGGTCAACATGATCACGAGCTTTCTGTGTAATCCTGAGCAGACCCCTCTGTTCCCTTCTGAGAGTCTCTCAAATCTTGTGAGGGATTTACCAACTTGACAGGTTTTGTGAGGCTAAAATCCATTAATGGCTGTGTGATGTTTAAATACTGCAATAATGAAATCTGTGTAAGTAGGTAAGTAAGTAATTTGAGTTATGTGTGGTTTTTCAGCACAGGACAAATTTTGCTTCTCCATTTTGCCAAGTGTATTTTAAATACTGTCTGCTTTCTGCAGAACCATTTTTGTTACCACTGTATGATAAAAGAGCCAGAGCGTCTTCTCAAGAGCCACTTCTTTTGTGGTAACTTTAGGAAAATATCATCTGATAAGGCACACTGAGTATACATGGCCATTGGTGGCAGCTGGTAATTTATTTATACCTTGATAATTTTAAAACACCCAGTGGGAATTGTCTAGCTGGCTGCATATACTAATGTCTTTCCTGCAGTTCCCTGTGTCCCTGAGGTGGCACGTATTTAGTCACTCAGACTGAATTACTTCGAGAGAGATTGGTCTAGAGCCTGAGTCCTGAGCTGCAGTACAGGAATAGCCTAAGTTACAGCAGAGGAGTTGTTGGGTCCAAATCCAGCCCTTCAGGTTGTGTCCTTGCTACGCTGTGATGCTGTGAATACAGAGAAACACTGGACCTTTTGGTTTTTCTATGACAGCATATACTTACAGGCAGATAATTAAAAGCTCTTGCGTTAAGAGGCTACAGTGATTCCTTCTTGACATAGAGCCATCGCTAAATAAATTTCCTGCTTACAAAAAAATGAAGGTTTTATCAGTTACTTATTGTGCCAGATGACCTATATGTTGGGCCACAATTTCAAGAAGTTTCTGGAGTGAAATCCCATCAAGTTTACGTTTTGTATATTAATTATATAAGGCGTTCAAAATGACATGTTTATATTGCCTCTTAAATCAACAGATCAGAATTTTTTGACAAGTGCCAGGCTCTGTAAGTCCTCACCCAGCAGTCTAGTACTGCCAATTTTAAGGATGCTTATAGCGTGACTTAAAGCACTTACCTTTCCTCTGAAGGACTTGAGTTTGGGACAGGATTACCAAGTGAACACAGACAGTTTGGCGCATAATTCTTCTACGCTGCCCGCTTACACTTACTGGGTTTTGTCATTTTTTTTTTTTCAAAATCCTTTTGCTGAGCAGCAGTTTGGCCAGAGCAGGTTACTCCTGCATGGAGAAAAGTTGGTGATGCTGACCTTGGTGATCTGTAATGTCATGCATTAATTTGTAAATGCAAATAGCATCCTTTCTTTGCACAGACGGTAACGATGAGCGGCACGCGATTCCCTCTTATAGAAATGACCTTGTGAGCCTTCACGCTCTCTGTCCTTGTACCTCTCTCCTAGGAGTCTCAGAATTCCTCAGACCTTCCTGCTTCAGTCTCTGAGGTTTTCAGGGGAAGCTATTCTAAAGCTCGACAAAATCATATTAAGATCAGACTAAAGATACAGTTACGCAACAACTCTGGCAACTCTGAGGAATTTCAGCAGCTAAATAAAGGAGAAAGCTTTAATCCACATGTCTTTAATGACACTCTCTGGGCATGTCTGGATGGGTGGGAGCAACCCTACCCACAGTCGCTTTGCCTGCACAATAGGCTTCGTGGCTGTTCGCGTCGCTAAGCTCGCATCTGCGAGCTGGAAGCTGTCTAGCTGCGTAGACCAGCTAATATTGCCTGCTGAAAGGACAATTTTCTAACGCAGGCTGGTTGGGGCACGGCCAATTCAGAGAGGTGGCTTCTGGACAGGAGTTGGCTTGTGCCTGGCCAGCTTGGACGATGGGTGGAGGAATTCGGGGTCTGTTGCATCTGGGTTGACATGACCTCCGTGTGCCTGCAGTGTGCAAAGCTGTGGAGTTTAATCCTCAGAATTTATAGATTGGCTTTGCAGTTAATTGCTAATTAATTTTCAAGCCGTCCTTGCCTTTCGCCATAGCATACTGAAGTGCTCTAAAGCAGAAGAGACCTTGCGGAGACATGACTCCTACCTCTAGAAATTACCATCTTCAGCTGAAGTGCTCTGAGGGAGGCGGGTGAAACACAAAGATGTTTTGATTTGGAAAACTGAGGAGTGAAGCAGCGCTTTTACTCACTTGCTTCCCTGCAGCTCAGACAATGGTGGTTTTTTTCCTTATGTATAAGTACCTGATGTATGCACAGATAAATATGGTGAATGTTTTCAAGTTGCTTATCTTGGCCTTTGTCGAGGAAGTGAGCATTCAAGAGGTGTTACATGTATTCAGATCTTGAGTCTGTTGCTTAGACCATAGTTCAAACATGAATAAACGTCAACTAAAAATAACAGCACTTAGAGCCACGATCCTGATCTGCATAATGGAGCTTATCAGTTTTGTAGCACACCCTGGTACTCCTGCTCCTTTTCAGTGTGGGAAGCAATATGGGATGCAAAGTGAGCGCATATATATATATTTGTGTGTGTGTTAGGAAAGATAGCCTGCATTTTCTTAGCAAATAATTATTGGCAAATGGGAGATCTAACTCATATTTTCCTTCCAGTCCTGGAGCAATCTGACTGGAGACAAACAATATAATTAACATTATTTTAAGCGTATGCTTTTAGCCATGTACTGTGGAAGGCAGGGAAAGTCCAAGCTCAGTAATTAGCCTTTTAGAAGACTTCTGCATAAACAGAGAGATAAAGGGCAGGTGCTGAAATCAAGAGCTGGTTATTTCTCCTCCAGTCTGTGGGAGGAGATAAATGAAGTTAATATGCCCAGGATGGAGGCAGAAGCCATGGCGTGGAGATAGAGCTGTCTCCTTCGCAGACGAGCAGCCCACAACCCAGGCTCCCTGTTTTATTGCAGAAGCTTATTAAAGGCAATTTAGAGATCATAGTGATAGGTGAAAATTGGCCTCATTTTTTTCTTTATTTTTATTTTTCTAATGTTCTCAGGCTGCCTTTCTTCCCTTTGCTGAAGTAGCTGTACTTTCAGGATTAGGAGTGTGAGAGAAGTGGGACTGTGTCTGGAGTCTGCGAGTTATCGCAGGATTTCAAGGGGAGTTAGCCAGCAGATAACCGCTCTTTTACAATAAGTGGGAAAACTTGTTTTGAATGCCAGCTAGTGACTGGAAGCTGACATTTGGGTTCATGGAATGATCACACCTGGGAGGCCACATTTAATGCTTTAGAAAAGAAAAGTTCCCATTAGCTAAGCCACTTAAGGCAGAGATTTCATTTTCATGAACATACTCGGAGCTGCTTTTATTTTTCTCCTATTCCTTTGCTCCCTGTGTCAATGAGCATTTTGTGATCAGTGTGCATTCTGTCGTATGTTCTTCATGTGCTATGCAGACATGCCATTATGCCATCAACTCGCACCTTTTTGGTATGGTACAAAATTTAATATTTATTGAAGTGCGTTCTAGTTCGACGGGCATTAAAATTTCACAGAATATGTAAAAGGAGCAGAGGTAAAAGCCTTCAGTCTCTTGACAGAACAAGTTTCGCTTTAGGTGTTAAAAGCACTTCTTGTAGGTTTCCCCTTCTATTAAGGATGTACTTCCAATTCCTTCAACTTCCATCTGTTTCATTAGAGAAAGCCCCTAATCACCGAGGCACCAGAGCGCGGGGGAAAAGACAAAATTGTCATCGGAGTGGTGGTAGCTGGACCAGAACAGCTTTGTGTCCCCGGCACATCGCCCCGCTCCTGGGGAAGCAGCCCCAATGTCAAAAGTTCAGCTACCAAAAATGTCATTAAAATTATACAGTTGTTGACTGAGGCAGCGGTGAATTCAATGGGGGATGTCAACTCTGGGAAGAAGGTATAGCCATAAAAGAAAGTGCCTGTGAAGTCCCCAAAACTGAGGGAGTCTAAACAGTCTCTTGGTTTAGCTACTGAGCTCTCTGTGCAATGGTTGCCCTGCTCCTGGAGATGCTCCTCCTCAGGAGGAGACATCGTCTGTTCATCGCTCATTTGTACCGTCACACCGTGCAGAGGGGCAGGGCATGGGTAGCATCAGTGCCCCGGATTGCAAAGGAAATTGGTAACGTTTTAGATGTATGCGTCCTACCTAACGTGATGTTGATCCCAAGAGACCATCCATTGCCCCATCTTCCATTACAATCGCTCATGATGATGTTGGGTTTTTTTTCCAGAGTCCTGATGTCCTTAGTCCTTGGGGGTTGTTATTTGGCCACAGCAAGATGCTGGCTTCAGAGTCCAGACCAGTGGTCTTTAATGATCTAAATTAAACCCTGGGGCAGATCTGTAATTCCTAAGCTGTGTACAGCTTTCTTGCATTTGTTTTACTGCTGTAACAGTACCTCACTACCATGGGTTTTAGGTAGAAGACTGCGCAAATTAACTCGGTATGACGCTGTAAAGAGGTAGGGGCAGAGGAGTTGTGGAGACCAGCAACCTCTTTGCAGAGCTCTAGGGCGTAGCAGTAAGCAAGAGAGACAGAAAACTTCCTTAAAAAATGAATTCATCAAATTCTTTATGATATTTACGTTTTT